GCCCTGCTCTAGAGTGACCCTTGGGCTCCTGCAACTCACATGACATGTTCCCATGCTTTCGAGGGGAAAAAATAGTTACTGGCTAGACAGTTTGAAACTCACAGTAATATTTATTTTCCTGCATGAATTCAGAAAAGAAAAGTTACACATTTATAGTGAGTTTTTTTTGTTTTTTTTTTGAGACAGAGCCTCAAGCTGTCACCCTGGGTAGAGTACTGTGGCATCACAGCTCACAGCAACCTCCAACTCCTGGGCTCAAGCGATTCTCCTGCCTCTGCCTCCCAAGTAGTTGGTACAGGCACCTGCCACAATGCCCTGCTATTTTTTGGTTGCAGCCGTCATTGTTGTTTGGCAGGCCTGGGCTGGATTCGAACCCGCCAGCTCAGGTGTATGTGGATGGCACCTTAGCCACTTGAGCTACAGGCGCCGAGCCCTGAGTTTTTTAATAGCTGCAGGTCTGTAAGCTTTAAAACAATACTGAGCAAAGCCCACATTGGGCTACGTGTCTAGTTTGCTCCACAGCATTGTCCTTTCTCTCATCAACACTATTTTTAACTCCAGTTTCATGCCCCCATTATCTCCTTTGTCACTAATCTTCATAATAAAACGAGGCCCACACACTCAAGCAAAGCAGCTACGTCACAAGCAACAGCTCTTTTCTTAAACTGCCTGCTACTCCCAGTCCCAGGGTCAAACCAATCAGTCTAAAATTATGCAAATAGGGCTCCCCAGTTAATGGGTGTGGTAAAAATTCTTGCACGAGGAAAGGGGTGACTCATTTCTCCAAATGCTCACAGGCAATGGGAACTATGCTGGGCAGTCTACCTCTGTCTCTCTTGCGGTCATAGTCTCGATCCCGCGATTTCTCTTTCTTCCGATCCTTTTCTTCTTTGGATGATGCGTAGACGCCATGTTCCCGCCGATCCCGCTCTCTCTGCCGACTGCGTTCCCAAAACTCTTCACTCACACCACCAGGATGGGAGGGAGTCTCTACCCGAGCAGACCGATAATGTCTGAAACATGGAGAATAAGTGGTAAAGGGCCCTCCACCAGAGGAAAACTGCCTGAAACCTTTGGCTCTGCCAAACAAGTGATCTTTCTTTTTCTACTTTATCTCCCTGATACTGCAGGCATTTCTAACCTCCATCATCTACTCTAAGTCACCTTTCAATTTTTCCCACAAGTCTGAAGAAAACAATTCCAACCTATCATCAATATTATAAAATCACAATAAAAAAAATATTTTTTTTTGAGACAGTTTCACTATGACGCCCTGGGTAAAGTGCCGTGGCATCACAGCTCACAGCAACCTCTAACTCTTGGGCTCAAGCGATTCTCTTGCCTTAGCCTCCCGAGTAGCTGGGACTACAGGTGCCTGCCACAACGCCCAGCTATTTTTTGGTTGTAGTTGGCATTGCTGTTTGGCAAGCTCAGGCTGGATTCGAACCTGCCAGCTCTGGCATATGTGGCTGATGCCCTAGCCACTGAGCTATAAGCACTGAGCCCATGATAAAATCTCAAAGACTAAATTTCCAACAGAAAAACTGACAGATAAACATGAGATGTTACTTCCTGGCCCACCATCTCCTTCCCATCCTGAGGCCTTTACCTGTCTTTTCGGCTATTTCGGCCAGCCTGTTCATCGCCCTCCTCTTCAGAGTCCCTCTGGTCATCCTTGCTCTCTTCCCAGTCCTTGTAGGAAGAGATTCTGGACTTCTTCTTGTCCTCCCCATCATCCTTCTCTTCTCGCTCCTTCCGTTTCAGGGAAGCCAACAAGTCTAGCCCCAGCAATGAAGGGCGAGGAGCAGGGGCCTTGAAGACATGCTGCTCACTGGCTGCACTTTTGGTCTTGCAAATAAGACCACCAACTTGAGAGTCCGCATCAGTCCCTTCCAATCTATGGATGGAGATATCTTCACTGGTGTCCGCCATCACAGGCTCTGGGACTTCTGTGGAAGAAAGGCAAACCATTTAGTACTGGATATAAAAGAAGAGGAGGAAGGCTCAGCTCTCCTATATCCTAAGGTAACTGCAATTATGGATGTACTTAAGTGGATAGCCTTCCACTCCCAACTCCCAACAGCAGGAGACTTTTACTATCTTTCACCAAGATCTTTCCATAAAGCCACTGACAATCTCTTCCATTCCTACCCCAACAGACATCAAAATAGATATATACACCTCCTCCATACACACCAGGATCCAGAGGGTACCATCTAGGCAAGAAAAGTCTTCACTAAGGGAAGAAAACAATGGTATCTATAATAGGAGTATAGCAGAAACTCCAATAAATCTGATTCAGAAGCCTCAATTAGAAATCAGGCTCTAGGCTCCACGCCTGTGGCTCAAGTAGCTAAGGCGCCAGCCACATACACCTAAAGTGGCAGGATCAAATCCAGCCCGGCCCGCCAAACAACAATGATGGCTGCAACTGAAAAAATAGCCGGGCGTTGTGGCAGGCGCCTGTGGTCCCAGCTACTTGGGAGGCTGAGGCAGGGGACTCGCTTGAGCTCAGGAGTTGGAGGTTGCTGTGAGCTGTGATGCCACGGCACTCTACCCAAGGGGACAGCTTGAGGATCTGTCTCAAAAAAAAAAAAAAGAAAAAGAAATCAGGCTCTTGACATTTTCTACCTGCATGATCCTAAGCCAATAACTGAATCTTTGACTAGCTATGATTTTACATCTGTAAAGTGGAAATAATTTTTGCATTGTCTGGACTGTGGAGCTATTGTGAGACTCAAACAAGAAATTGTATGTGAATGCACTCTGTAACCACAAAGAGTTATATAGGGTAATTGTTTTATTTTTGTTTTGGGGGGTTTTTTTTTGCAGTTTTGGCCAGAACCGGGCTTGAACCCGCCACCCCCCACCCCCCATATTTGGTGCCCACGCCCTACTCCTTGAGCCACAGGCGCCACCCTTATATGGGCTAATTGTTACAATATTTTATTTTCTATGCTTCTATGTATTGACTGGTCACCAATTTCTTGTAAGTTCTACTTCTCTCCTTCCCTTTACACAACAGATACAGCACAGCAGAGGTGGAATACAAGGCTACCACCCATCTCCATACTTTACTGGCATTATTTGAATTCGTTGTGTTTCATGGAAGATTAACTCATGGCAGCCAAAATCAGTTTAATGACAATCCACAGTCACCAAAAATATTGCTGAGAAATACCATGTTAAGAATGGTGTTATGGGCGGCACCTGTGGCTCAGTGAGTAGGGCACAGGCCCTATATACCAAGGGTGGCAGGTTTGAACCCAGCCCCGGCCAAACTGCAACCAAAAAAAAAAAAAAGAATGGTGTTACTGAAGAGTATTTAAATGATGAACTTTCTGATGCTAAACTTGTAACAAATTCCTCTTTACCTCCAACTACACAACTCCCACTTATACATATTCAACTGTTTAAGATGATTGGATAATTCCCCTAACTCCAACAAGTTCATAAAGCAAAAGAACTGTCAAAGGATCAAGTACCATGGGAATCCAGAATTCTTTGTCAAGCTCTAATTAAACACACAGCTCTATAGAAGTTCTGCCAAACAGACTGAACAGGTAATTGAAACACAGAAACAAGAGATACATTTTGAAAATGTCATCACACAGAACAGAAAAGGGAAAGCTGCATATTGGTGACATCCACATACATACATGTGAAGAAGTCCAGACAGGAAGGCAGTATGTATACATGTACATATATGTATGTACAAGTACGTATAAGTGTATACATATGTATACAAAGTCTGCTCAGAAGTTGTCTAAACTAGGAAATACACCCTAGAATGCCATTCTACAGAGGTGAGAAAAACTTGTATGTCTTGTTGACTGATATAGACCACTGCCTGGCGAAATAAATGTTTGATAAATGAATGAATGAATGAATTTAAACCTATTAAAGGGGAACAGGAAACCAAACATCTCTAGAAACAGCAACACAAGGCAAGGAGTTGTACAAGGAGAACTTAACTAGCTCCTGAGAAGAACAAATAAAGACTTAACAAAATTCTGGAGAAGAATTAATGGCAATCAAACCACAAGCGGTACGAGAAAAACAGCGAGGAAAGAATCTGGATTTATTCAGTCATCAATTATTCATTGAATGCCCCCATGAGCCAATCACTGATCTCGTCAGTGAGGATAAAGAGAACAAAACAGAACTTCCATCCCACCTGGTGCTGACATTCTAACAGAAGAGAACGCCCGCCAGACTGCCTGATGGGGACAGCACGGTGCGAGAGCAGACGAGAAGCCCCACTCGGCTCGGCGGCAGTCCGGGAGAGGGCTAAGGCTGAGGAAGGCTCTGGGCGACCTTGGGTACCATCCTGGACCTCAGCGAAGCCGCTCGGGGCAGCGGGCTCTGACCACAGCAGACAGAAGGCCGGGGCAGGCAGGACGGGCGCAGCTTCCCCAAGGTGAATAAGGCAAGGTAGGTGACAGGGACCAGAGAGGAAATTCCCAAACTGGGCCTGGACCTGAGCAGAGGACCAATATACACCGCCTGGAGCCGCTATGAATGGTCACGGGCCAGTTAGGAAGGAAAAAGGGGCACTCACCTCACCAAGCCCGACTCCTGGGACCCTCCTGTCCCGAGTTCTGGGGAGCCGGCGCTACACAGGCGGCCTCAAAGAGCTAAAATCCACACCTTGAAGGCGGCCATTATTGTCCCTTAATACCTTGCGCGGTTCCCTCTATCCGTCCAAAAATACCATAGAGAGTAGCCTGGAAAGCGCAGATCCCCAAATCCAAAGTGTCACAGAACGCGACCAGCCTCTCCAGGCCTCCTCCGGGGCTCAGGTCAGAGACGCTTCCTAGTCTCCTCGCGACCAATCACGCTTAGCTTACGAGATGAGACCCCGCCTCTAGTCTGAGGAAGGGGCGGGGAAGGAAAAATACCGCCATATTTAATGAGGGCGGAAGTAAGCCGTGGCTTCCGCTCTGCGTGGGTGGTGACGCGTATCTCCAGCTCCTGGCGCTCTACTGGGATTCCTTTTCCGTGCTTGTGTGATTTCTTCTTCGGTTTCCTTCCGGCTAAATTACCCCGCGAGGGTTGCTAGGCAATAGTCGGGGGATACTTTGGCTTAGGGTTGGCTGCCCAACTCAGGGCAGAAGAAAGAAGCCTCCGGCGTCCTGGCTCCTCCGGGAACGGGTGGCGGGTGTGGACAGCCCTGACGTGGAAGCGGGGAGGTGACTTGGACGAGTAAAGTAAGTATCTTCCTGGCGGGCAGTCGCGGGCCGGGAGTAGCGCAGCCACCCGGAAAAATACTTTTACTTACGCCCCGGTGTAAGTAAAAATCACCCGTCTCTTCACACGCTGAGGTCAACACTGGGGATGTTCGGGGATGTTTATTTCCAGTTATTTTTCTGTGTAAGTACGTACTTACACTTTATGCTTAGGTTCTGTCCAAAAGTGAGATCAGACTTTTTTTGCGTTCCAGGACTGTACTAGCATTTATTTCTCCAAGCCCCTATTGAGGTCATTTAGGTTGTTTCCAGGTTTTCACCCTTAGAAATGGCATGGGTATCCTTCCTTCATCCGTCTGTATTCACATGTCTAATTACGTGTATTTACCAACAAATAATTTTCAGAAATGGAATTATTGGTCGAAGAGTGTATGGGCTTTCCTTCTAGCAAGGTTTTATCTCCCTACCTTCCAGCAGGGACCATGTAAACCTCCTGCCATAGTCATGTGCTTGCCATTATTATGTACTACTATCTTGTTTGATTTTTGCCATTTTAATGGATTTTTAAAGCATCTTTTAATTTTCTTTGCTTATTAGTAAAGCTTTTGAAATTTATTCACTGTCCCTTTGTACCTCTTCTTTTGGTGTACATCAGAATCCTCCATTGGTGTCTTTTGCTGTGGACGTTTTCTTAGGTGTGGTCTCAGTTTCTCTCTCCTCCTTCCAACATTTGTCCATTCCCATCCCTGACCTTCATGTTGACTCAGTGCCCTCCCCTTACTTCCTCCTCTTTATCAGTAATACAGAAAGGCTGCTGTCTGTCTGGATTCTACTGGCGGGACAGATCCATCTTCTCTTTGACGTTTCCTTTCATTAGTAATTTGTTCTGATCTTTGATGAAGTCCCTTCTAGCAATCAGCATCCCCGTTTGAAGTATGACCCATTGCTGAACAATTTGATTTTCTATATGAATTATTATTAACTCATATCTTTTTCTTTTATTTTATTTTACTTTTGTTTGTTTGGTTTTTTGGTTTGGTTTGGTTTGGGTTTTTTTAGTTACAGGGTCTTGCTGTGTTAGGCTAGTTTCAAACCCCTGGCTTCAAGCAATACTCCCATCTCAGCTCCCACGTCACTGAAATTACAGACCTGAGCCACCACAGCTGGCTCTTAATTTGTATCTTAAAATTAGTGATTTGTGACCAAAAATATATAAAGAAGAAATCTTCTCTTTTTGTTGCATTAGCCAACATTGACACTGAATTCAAAATGTCAGATATCCCAGTGAAGAGTTTCTCAAAATTGAAATTTCTTGCAGTTATGAAAATAAGAGCTTGTTGTAGTAGAAGAAACCCTGGCCTAGAAATCTGATGACCTGTGTTGTAGTCCTTGTTCTTGTAGCTAGAAGTATAACTATAAGCAAACTAGCTTGTAAAATGAGGAGGAGGTGTGCCTAATAAGGTATGACGAAGAATTCTTAAGCCAATATTTGTGTTAATATAGATTTCTATCAGTAAAAGACCTATGTGAAATAGCATGCTGCTCTGACAAAGAATATGGAAGTTTTCTTTATAGAGGCATGGGAAGATTGTCATAGGTTAGATTTTTAAAAATACAAAATGCAGAAGAGTGGATAAAGTGTGTGTGCTAAACACGTGCCATTTGCCCCTTGAGAGCCACTCTTCATCCTCCCCTGGACTGCTCTGGGGACCGGGAGGCCTACCTGCCTTAGCCACTCCCCTGCACTCTGGTTCCAGTTGGAGTCAGTGGGTGGGAACACAGGCAGAGGCTAGAGAAGAGGAGAGTGGCTCAGCAGGCTGACCTGTGTGTGCCTCCTCCACTCACCTCTCAGCCTCACAGCTGTTCTGACTGCTGCTTCCCCTGGCTCCTTCAGGCCTCAGGGGACGAACAGCATTTCACTTCCCTGCTATTACCAGCCCCAAAGTACTGCACTTCACCTTGGTGCTTTTCTAACTGGCCTTAATTAAACTGTCCTCAGATTGCCAAGTTTGAGAGTGTCATGGTTTTCCTGCTGGAACACAGACTGATATTTATCTTCTAGAGTGTCTATGTTTTCTCCACTTTTGGGCAGGTAAAAAAGTGGAGAAAATATAGAAACTCTAGAAGATAAATAGAAAAAGCTGTTTCTTGATGTTTGGGAGAACATGGGGCAGTGAGAATGGGCTCGGAAGCAGGGACAAGGAGAGGGAAACTTCACAGTATACCTTTCTATATATGTTCCTAAAAACCATGTAAATGCATAACCTCTAGAAGTTAATTTTTTAAATAAGGGTTCATGCATTTAATCTAAACCATCTTTATATATTGCAACTTTATTTCAGAATTGGTGGTGAAGATTAACATTTAAACTATTTCAAGATGAGCTTCCTGTTGCCCAAGCTGACCTGCAAAAAGGAAGTAGACCAGGTGATAAAAAGTACTGCTGAGAAGGTGTTGGTGCTCAGGTTTGGGAGAGATGAAGATCCTGTCTGCCTGCAGCTAGACGATATTGTAAGTGGATTTTTTTAATGGTTTTTATTAAAAATCTGTATATTGTCTGCAGAGTGTTTAAATTAGAGCAGGGAGGGCTCGTTGTGAAGCTGCTCAGTCATCAGCGCACTTTGACTAAGAGGTGGCGTGTGCAGCCCTGAGCTGACCCCCACATCTGTGATGGTGCTGAAGCTTTCCTAGATGTCCTTCCTACTAACAGCTCTCAGTGCTCAGTTTCACCAAAGGCAGTGGAAGAACAGGAAACATGATTAACAAGCACCTATGGACATTATCTTTTTTTGATACCCACGCAGTAGAGTAATAGCAGCCCCATGAATACCAGGGAGGGCAAATAACTTCCCACGGGCACAGATCTGCCAAGTTCTGGAGCTGAGATTCAAACTCACTATTGTATAAATGCCAGGACTCTTCCCTGTCTCCAGAATGCCCTGATGATAATCTCTGATCTTACAGCACATTTTCACCTTCTGATTAGTATGAAAGAGGCCTACAGGACAGGGTAGGCATAAACTTGTCTGTATTTATCACAAAGAAAGACTAACCCAGAACTAAGACCTCTTCCCACCATTTCTATTGCTGCCATCACTGTAGAACCTGACTATAAGAATCCTCATTTCTGTGGTTAAAAGTGATTGTAAAAAAAGGAAAAAAGAATGAGTGCATGATCTGTTAACCTGGCAAAGAAAGGACCAGAAGATTATACCCTCAGCTGTAGAAAAGAGGAACTTAGACAGAAGTCAGTAGTAGACACTGAAGCCACACTGCTGAAGTTCCAGTCCCTTCCCTACTGTCTATTAGCTGTGTAACTTGGGCAAATTACTTTACCTCCCTCTGCCTCGGTTTCCTCTTCTGTAAAATGGGTACTCTAATAGTGCAAACCTCATAGGAATGTTGTAAGGATTAAATAAGTTAACAAATGTTAAGTCCTTAGGACATTTAGCACATAGTAACTGTCCTGTGTGTTTGCTGCTAATTATTATAGTTATTTCCAGGAGGATTCAGAGGAAAGCGATTTTAGGGAATATCAGTATCTGTATTACATATTTCTAGGTTATTTTAAGTGAACATAGATTACTTTTATGGAAACAATTCAAGATAGAAAAAAATTAAAGGCAGAAATATAGGATATTTGCAGTTTTACCTAAGGTGTTCTCATAACCTTGTTGACGGTGATTCAGACTCTGGTCGACAAGGTTACACTGTGTCTAACATGCAACCCAAATAGGCTAGATTCTCAGCTAGGAATTTTTTCAAACAAAATACTCAGTTATATTTAAAGGTTCTGGCTCGGCGCC